TATTCCTATTCTATTATTCTATTATTCTATTATTCTATTATTCTATTATTCTATTCTATTCTATTCTATTCTATTCTATTCTATTCTATTCCATTCCATTCCATTCCATTCCATTCCATTCCATTCCATTCTATCCTATCCTATCCTATCCTATCCTATCACTCAAGAACTATATATAAATCTACTCCAGTTACAAAAATATTGGGGTATTTGGCCTGTTTGTTACTCACCCACTGAAATAAAAAGTCTCGTTTCCTCAGCTTCCTCCTTCACTTCTTGAAGGGGCTCGACCCTTTGCGTGTCCCCTAGGGATTTCATAGTTGGGGAAACTTCTCCTCCTTCCTGTTCCATCTCTGGCTTGGTCAAAAGGGGGCCATCTTGGGAAAAAAAACCAGGAAAAAAAACAGTGAAAATACCATTTATTTTATTTTATTCAGAAGAGTCACAAGTCAAACTTTGCATCATAAACTAAGGAGGAACTGACTCGTGTTCCAGAGCGGGAAATTTGCATTTTTGAGCCAACGCAAAGTTATTTTCCAAGCTTCTCTACTTTCCTACCCCGTTAATCTGATTATTTTTAAAAAGTAAAATTGAAAAAAGATACTAAATAAACACAAGGTCTATTTATGTTATCAGGCCTGGAACTCCTGGGAAACCAGAGAAATGTTTAGGTGGCTCAGTTGCTAAGGTGGTCATTGTTATCTTCTCAGCCTTGAGTTTCTTATTTGGTTTTCTAATACTTATCTCCTTATAACAATTTTATAACATCTATTACTTACCTAACAGCTAACAGCACGTACCTGCCTCATGCATCTGGCTGCCCACTTCTTCATCTTGGATCAATGATTTTATTCTGTTTATATTGTGATTTTATTGGATATATTTATAATGGACTATTTTAATGTTTTTACGTTGTAGAATGCCCAGGCTTGTTTTGAAATGAGACAGGCAGCAAAGAAATTTCATGATAAATAAATCAACCTTTTAATGTGGTTTTCTACAGCTGTTGAAACGAAATGGGCGGCAAAGAAATTTCACGATAAATCAATCTTTTAAGGTGGATTTTTACAGCTGTTGTTTTATTCGATTTACTGCCCGCTGTCCAACGTTGTGTTTTTTTTTTGCAAGATGAGTGACTCTACGAATTTGATTGATAAATCTCTATATATAAAAGTGAAAGACCACTACACACATTATCACAAAATCTCCAGAACCATAATGCCTACAAACTTGAAATTTGGCACATAGGTTCCTCTTGGCTTCTAGGGGCTCACTAAGAAAGGGTTTTTCCAAATGACCATCAGAGCATTAATATTTCCTATACTATTATTATTAACACGCTCTAATGCTAAGGAGTTCTACTCCCCCTCCCCACCTGGAAAGAAATCTCTTCCAAATGCAAAACACAAGTGGAGGAGTTTCAGTTTCAGTTTCAGTTTCAGCAGCTTTAGTCCAGTACAGTTGAGCTAAGCCACGCCCAAGCTCCTTGCTGTCTCCTTCTTGCTCACACAGTAAATACTGCTTCAGTTTCCAAACAGCCCTCAACTCTCTCACACACACCAACAGGACACTCGCCAGACGAATACCGATGGATGCTGGTAGGCAGAGGCAGAATTTCCCCCCGTTATTTTCATCCCCCAAAACTAAGCCCGACCAAATAGTTTTGTAGTGAAGCAAGGGTATCTAGCTAGTAAAGTAAATAAATTGAGCTGGTCTCCATTGGAGGAAAGACGCCAGAGAATCGAGGATGATAGAAAAAGGCCCGTCCACAAATATAAAATGATCGATTCCTCCCCTTCAGTCAAAGGAGGGTCGATCTCTTCGTGACCACCAAGCTGGTTGATCCCACCTGAAGGCGACGACGCCTCTGTCGGAAGAGCCTCGGCTTCGGAGAAGGAATCCATCTGGGTGGTTTTCCGCTTCTTGCATGGCAGCATGGTGGGGGAGAAGGACAATGGCAGCTAAAGGCTTCTCGACGGAGCGCTGGAAAGACCACCCAAAAAAAAAGAGAATTTCAAACCACCACAGGAAAAAAAAAAAAGTCATAAAATCGGTCGCGACTCACCCCCCGCCTGCCTTGGATACCGACAGAGATTCTGGTCCCCATTGTGGTTATCCATTAAGTGAGTTTTGCCCCCCTTTGACGACCTTTCCTGGTTTAGGTAAGTGACTCGGTTGTTAAGTGAATCATGGCATGTGGTTACATCGGCAACACGGTTGTTAAGTGAATTCGGCTTCCCCCAGTTGGCTTTGACTGACAGGTCGCAAAAGGTGGGGGGGAGAGGAAATCACACGACCCTCCCAGGGCCGTCATAAACACAAATCAGTTGCCAAGCGTCCTAATGTAAATCCCAATGGTCGTTGCCGTCGTAAGGGTGAAACGTGCCGATAAATCACTTTCTTTCGAACGGTCACTAAATGGAATGTTGCAATCTGAGGACTACCCGTATTACACTATTTATCAATGCAAGAGGATATAGGTGACCCTGAACTCCTAAAAACAAAACAAAAAATAAGGAAGAGAATGGTGGAGGGGCTCGACCACCCTCAGATTTGCGTGGCTGGGGATTATGGGTCTTGCCCCCTCCACGGGAAGCAGATTAGGGGAGGTTTCCTCTAATGGGGAGGGAGTCATGACCCCTAGGATGGGCTTTGTAGTCCAGCACTATTAGAGGACGCTGGGCTGGCAAAAAGACGAAAGGGACCCCCATAAACCCCAGCCACAGCTGGAGCTGGGGATGATGGGAGTCGTGGTTATCGCTTGTTGGGTGACCCCGAAATGCGGGAGGCGAGTTCCGGGCCTGGCGAGGCCTTCTGGCCCTTCCATAGCGGGCCCCACCTCCACCGGACACCCCCCCGCCAAACTAACCGAGCATCTTCCCCGGGGATCCCCCCACGGTTGCAGCGGCTCATTGCAGCCATTTCCGCCCCCCAATCCGGAGCGGCACCCTCCGTTTATCCGGCCGGAAGCAGAAGTGACGTCAGTCAAAGGCGACGAGGCGCTTCTCGCGCATGCGCCGCCGAGCGGGCCCTCCGACTCCGCCATGTTTCGTGCGGGCCGCGGGAAACTGAGCGGTCGGCGGAAATTTCACGCTGTCGGAAGGTTCGAGGAGGGTTGGGCAGCGGGGAAGAGTTCAAAACGGTCGGCGTCGTCTTGCGAAATCCCCTTCAGGATTTAAAAAGGGCGAGATTTTTTTTATCAAAAAAGGGGAAAGGGCCTTCCTGGAGGAAGCGAAGGCCGCCATGTTGGTTGTTGGCAAGGCCGGTTTTTTTTTTTTTGCGGATTGTTTTTCCCGACCTTGAAAGGCCACGTGACCCGAGGGTGGGGCTATCCCCCTGACGTCACAGGCTTCCTGCGAGCTTGCTTTGCTGGTTATCTTGGTAATTAATATTGTTGGGATTAATCGGTTTATTTAGGTTTTGGTTTTCCGTTTTAAACACGAACGCAGGTCTTTTAGGATGCAAAGTTTTTTTTTTCCCCTTAATGCGACCCATGACCTGAATATGCCATTCATTTATTATTTTTCTTTAATTACTCCAGGGCTTCAATTACTATTTTTGCTGCATTTCTCCCCGATTCATGATTCCATTTGTTTGCATGGCTCCAAATTAAAAAAAATAGCGGACCTCAAGACTTGTAAAAAATCTTCCTCGAGCTCTTGACTCAGCCGAACGTTGAACCCCACGTAGGGCCGTAATAAATGTAGGATTTTCAGCTCGGGGAGATTATCCTAATTTATTTAAAAGCATCTGCAAGACCCTCCACGCAGCTAAAAACAAAACTAAAGGCCCAAAGTCAGAAAATGCCCTAAAAAACAAACAAAGCTGGATGGGAAAAAAAAAAAGATGAAAGATGTTCTGTACTAAATGCAACCCCCGAAGGGCTATTAGAATAGAATACTTCATTAATTGTTTAGTCTTGCAGCCTTATCAATAAAATAAAATACATAATGCGGGTCCAGGATAAAACAAATGGAAGGCAATACAGTAATAAAATGCATATTTAATAAGAC